CAAGACAGGGTAGCAGCGGTCCATCCGTCAGCTGCACTCCCTGCTGCTCCGCCGTGATCCTGAGCAATGTCTCGTGGGCATGGCCGTGCGCGAGGTGATACTCGTTGAGGTCAGTGGGGTTGGCTGCTTTCTNCATCTTTCCCCCCAAGTCGAGATACACGCGAAATAACTTCTTAGCTGCGCGTATGCTCGTGCTCTTCTGGACGGGTTTCACCTGTCCCTTGGACATCGAACAGGCAAGACAGGGTAGCAGCGGTCCATCCGTCAGCTGCACTCCCTGCTGCTCCGCCGTGATCCTGAGCAATGTCTCGTGGGCATGGCCGTGCGCGAGGTGATACTCGTTGAGGTCAGTGGGGTTGGCTGCTTTCTCATCGCCAGGAACAATGAGTGCGGCACAGGCGGTGTGTAGCGTTGGCTTTATTTGATAGCCTCGTTGGGTCAGCAGCTTTCCAGTCCCGGGGAACCACAACTCCCCCCGGCTTTCATGGTCAGCGTGAGGCCCCCCTTCACCCCCGAATACGTGTGGCTCTCCTCCGCCAACGAAGACAGCGAGAGGAGGTTGTAGGGGGCCTCTGGTACATGGGCAGCATTCAGTACTGGTACCGGTATTCCACCATCTTCCGTCTGTAGGACTAAGGTCACATCTCCGTATCCTAGAAGAGGAACGGGGGCCTTGTCGCCTCCGATCCCCTTCACCTAACTGCTACGCTCACGGTAGTTCACGAAGTTGTCTGCACATCGGAACATGGAGCACGTGGACGCTGTGTCGGCCACGTACACCGCCTGGCCTTTGTTCCACAATCCCCACTAGACCTACTTCACCAACGGTACCACACTCGCCTGGGGGGACTGCCACGGCACAAAACGCCTGGTCTTCCACGGAGTCCACGTCGCTCTCATGCTACACCACTTGCGCTAGGACGGCCTCCTCCGTCGCGCACTTTTCTTTGGTGTGGCCCCACCCCTCGCAGCGCGCACACCACGCACGAAGTCCTTCTCGTTGGTAGTGCAGCCGATCGCTTGATGTCCAAGATGTCCACACCTAAAGCACCGACCCGGGAACTTATAATCCCCGCCACCACCGCCATCGGCGCCTCCACTGCTACTTCCCTTGCTCTCCTCGACTCCTCCGGATCCGCCAGAGCGGCCGCCGCGACCGCCGCCGCCGCCGCCGCGACCGCCTCCGCCGCGGTCACGACTGCTGCTGCGGCCACGGCCGCCGCCACGACCACGACCTTGTCCCTGACTCCGACTTGAGTACCGCTCCCTGCGGTCCTCACCGTCGGCGAAGTACGCTTGCTCTGCGCCCTTCGCCCCTTTTCCTTTCCCCTGCTCCAGCTTGTCCTTGATCGCCTTGTATTTGGTCATTACTTCCTTTAGCACACCGGTCCGCGTCAACTCCTTCGCGTGTCGCAGGTTGTGCTTAGTCATGGCATACTCGTCCGAAACGACATCCAGGAACAGGTGAAGGACGAACGTTTCGTTGACAGTTAGTCCTTTCTCGGATAAGGACTTTTGCGGTCTGGAAAATCTCATTTAGGGCATTTTGGGGGTTTTCACCTCTAGAGATCTTGGTCGACATAAGGGACTTGAGGCCCTCTGACGGCTGTACAGATGATTCAGGGTTGTGTATGGTCTTGAGCTCACGAAGAGCTCCCTGGGGCGTCTCTGCCCTCTTCATGATCTTCCCATCTTTTTCTTTCAACGCGTGAGACAGGAAGTTCCACGCGTGGAATGCGAGCTCTACTTGCTCGCTCCGGTACTGCTGTGACAGCGAAAACTTGCTCTTTCCGCTGTTGACGGGGATCTCCAAGCTCCCGCTCTCTTCAAATTGTTCCAACAGGTTTGCGCCATTAGCTGCCATGCGGAAATCATTTAGCCATTCGTTAAAATTTTTCGATTTGCCGCTGAACGGAGGAGAAGCGTACCGCACACTTTGGTACCCCGTCGCTGGGGTTGTGGCTCCGTATCCAAAGCCAGCAGCAGCACCATCATCTCCCATGGCACTACTATAATCTTGGTTGTGAGCAGCGGCTACTCTCACCTCTTGAGGGACAAAGCCCCCTGCTCCGCCGCTGTGTCGCCCTGACAGGCCAGACTCTCGAACAGGTTCGCGCAGGTACCTCCCGTCCTGCGCACTCCCGGTCCACGGTGCCCCTCCTTGGGCGTTCGTGGACTCCGCGGCGGCGCTCTCCCTAGCATCGCCGCGATCAGCGGCACCCTCCATGGTGCCAGCTGGCCCCTCCTTCTTGCTTGCCTTCATGGTACCTTTCACTAGCGACATTAGCTGGCTCATCTGATCCGTCAGCGAGCGAACTTGCGTCCTCAGGGCCTTGAGCTCTTCTCTTGACCTCTTTCTGTCTTCCGCCGCAGAGTCGCTGGAGGAGTCACCCCCATCTTTGCGACCTGACATTCCTAATGGACTCTCCCATGCGGGACTGACACTAGTGTGTTCGCATGTGTCCTTTACTTGGAAGGGGAAGACGTTTTATCTCTTTTATTAGACACGCAAGGGCAGCAGTGAGACGTGAAGCCCTCTTTGGAGTTCGAGGGGTCCCCGCACATGCAACCATTTCAAGGTATACTTATGCCCCATCTGCGCGCCCTCTGTTGTTGCCGGTAGATCTAACCAGTCCGTATCCAAACACACGAACAAGGTTAACCTACTGCGCCAAACAGCAAATCTGCCAAGGTACTGTTGCGGAGTTTCACCGAATCGCATTTTGATGCCATAGTATTCTGATGTCAACCGTGTCTTCTCGGCTCTCGCCTGGAGTTCGTAGTTGCTAGAAACAATTTCCAACCTCCGCTGGGACCGCTATCAGCGATGATCTGGGTCAAGACAGGCATGTAAGTGATTGTCGTGATATTAAATTCCATGCTGTGATCGCCTTCTCTACCGTCTCAGGCGAGTGCGTCACACGTAACTCCTCCATGTCTTGACTCCTGCTAGCCCAACTGCAATTCTGTCGTCACTCAATACCACTTCACGGACTCCTTCCTGCGCAAACATCGCAGTCATCTTCGATCGAAAAATCGAAATCTGTGCCTGCTCATCCTCCCCTTGCTTAAACACACCATCCCACGGCGCTAGGCGCTTAACCTCAGTCATCCTAAGAGTCGCTGTGCTACTTGGTACTCTACTCATGCCTCCGGGTGATATTTGAAGAGGGCTGGTCAGGGCGTCGGCGAGAGTGCGGGCGATGTCGTCTGAGGATGCCCTATGTGAGACGGTTGTCTCCAGGTGTACGTGTAAGCAAGTTCCCTTTGGGATGTGTGGTGTGGATACACACTGGTTCAACCTCTGGCGGAGAGGCTGACGAGTACGGATAGTTGTGTTGAGTGTCGGGTGGGGGAGCAACCTTGTGTTGAAGCAAGGTTCAGCATCCAACCTATACACTGACTCTATCTATGCCAACACCCCGAAGGTAGATCTCCGACAGGTCATCTGACGTCACAATCTACGACATTCTGAGGTGGCATTCACAGTCCCTCTAAAAATTTTGTTCAGCTGCTTTTTTCACGCTTGAGGCTGACATGCGGATAAAATGTTACGAAAAGGTCCACCGAGAATGCCAAAGGACGGCTGTGAACCAGACACAGAATAACAACAAATCCTCACGACGTCTGCCGTGTTCTCAGACCAATTCTAGAACACCAACAAGCTGTTCGCAAGCCCTATTGAATCCGGATGCACGGGTTGTGCATGAACTCACGAGGGAGCAAGGAGAGGGCATGATGAGTGGCTCCTTCGGTTGCGGCTCTCCCGAAACCACACAGCAACCAACTGTCCCAACAGGCCTTGCGCCAGGAAATGCACCACGAAAACCTGCCTCGCCACTACCCTTGTAGCGGAACTCCCGGAGGTGCAAGCGCCCAGGGTATGGAATACCCGGCCGTGAAACCAGGCTCATGTGGATTTTGCCACAGTAGTGCCCACTGCAAAGCCTTCTCCAAAACGCTGGTCGGAAAACAGTGGACACCTACCCCGTCTTCCCTCATAAGCTTTAGGTGGTATTTTCCCCCTTTGATTTGTGTCGCCTTAGCAGAAGCTGTTCACCATCGACCCGCCCACAGACTAGACAGCACCGGCAACAGAAAGGTTCGTCCGTGCGGATGTCTCGCCATACCCCAGAGTGGATGCTCCTACTTGAACCGTATCAAGGTCCGAGCCCTGCAGAGTGTCGAACCATAAGACGCATGGGGCCAGATTTTTTCCAGCCCTTCAGCCCTAGTCTAGACCTGTAGCTTCGCTCTTTCGGCATGCGCCGGTTATGCAGCCCAGTGCATCGCCGGTCCTCTTAACATACGCTGCGTTTGTACGAATCCTGTCCAAGCTTTCTGTGACGATGCGAAGCCCCACCTCGACGAAACCTGCGCTACGAAAAGAGTTCTTCCGTCAATCGTTGCAATATATCCTTCTGCTCTCTCTCCCCCTCTCCGCACCCCCCGCTGCCCCTCCGCTGCCCCACGTTTCCACCCGCCCCGTCTCCGCCAGTGGTGGACAGGCTCCTGGAGAGCTCAGCGAGCGCGAGCTTGTGGGTGCCCTCGAAGGAGTGGAGCCAGCGGTTGGAGTAGGACAGGCACAGGCGCGCTAGCCGACGGGCGTTCTGGCTGCTCATGCAGGCCTCTCCGGCATGGCGCAGGATCAGCTGCTCGACCTGTGCGCATGCATGCAGCGTTTCGGGTTTGGTTTTGCACGGGTAAGACCGGACGAACTACCGAGTGAATGCAATCGTGCTATCTATAGCACCACTTCGTGGTGCAGAAGAGAGGATGACTTTGGGGAGGCTCTCTGCCGCTCACTCTTGGTGTTAGTCGCCCGCGTGACGTGCGATTGTTTTCCCTCACCTTCACAAGCGATCAGTCCTTGCTAGGGAGAGAGCCATTCAACTTTTCTGATACACAGCTGCACGATCGCATGGTTCCGATTCTGAACGTGGCAGAGGGGGGACCACATGCCTCCTGCAGCTGGACATATTTATCGATATCGGTCTTGTCCCGTGAAGCATTGGCGTTACACACTCTTGGTATTAGTCGCCCACGTGACGTGCGAATGTTTACCCTCACCTACACAAGCCATCAGACCTTGCCAGGGAGAAAGCCATTGAATCTTCTCTGATACACAGCTGCCCGATCGCATGGTTCCGATTCTGAACGTGACAAAGGAGGAACCACATGCCTCCTGCAGCTGGAAATATTTATCGATATCGGTCTTGTCCCGTGAAGCATTGGCGTCACACAGCTATCCCAAGGAACCGACCCTACAAGCCGTGATACAGGGAAGTTAGGTTCATTGTGGACGTCTGTGACTCCCCGAACCCGTTGGTACGTTCTTGTCGTAGCGTCCAAGTCACGTACCAAACAATTTAAAGTCATGCTCACTCACAGCCATGTTGTGATAGCAGATGGCCACAAGGCACAGCTTCTGCGGAGAGTTCCCCCCGACGTCGAGCTTGCCCTCCTGGACCATCGCCAAGACCTGGCGAGCCGTCGCCGCAGGAAGCGCAGGGGCGGAGGGCGGGGGAAGGGGACAGGGGACAAGGGCACAATAGGAGTGTAAATAGATGAAATGGAAAGCTTTAGCGGTGACCACGAGGCACGGTTACCGACCAGCGATATCCTGGGCTGGGCTTCTCACTCCGTGTGGTACTGAGCACGTTTAAGGCCGCTACTTTCGAGAGAGTTTTTTTACTGGCGTGGATATCCGTTTTAGCAACCGCGAGTGTTTCGCAAAGAAATGCTGAACCAATTGCTTGCGAGAGCATATTTGTTTTGGTCCTGCCTAGAAAGGCGTCGAGAAAAACGCGTCGGAACCGGGCGGAACGCGATTCCTCATCTGAGGTTTTTCGTCAGGAGTACCTGTCCGAGACACCTAAGAGCTTCGTCATGGCGGTTGAGCTTGGACAAGACCATGGAGGAGTGGAGATGGCATTTGGCCACGTGTCCCCAGTCCTGCGTTCGGCCGATGGGAGGCAGAAGAGCGGGACGGCGACGACAGCGGTAGCACTTTGGTTCGCGGCACCCTTCGAGAGGGGCGGGAAGTTTCTCTGTCCGAACTTTCTCGACGCTCATCGGGTATTTTGCTGCGGTGTTGCACTGCTCAGCTGTTTTCCCTTGTCCCGAGAGCATCGCTGTCAATCCTTAGCTTCACAGAGTTTAGCATAGACCGTCCGTTTGCGTGTGAAAACAACCGCAGGGCACCTCCATCGCGGAAAACTCTCTTGCCCTCGACAAGAAGCACGCGTTGCGGAGGGGAGAGAACATAGTTTCGACAACTTCAGCTTAGCCCGGAAGGCGCCATCAAACGTACGATGTCTACAACTGCGTCTTGCAGCCACTCGACGAAATACACATCCGAAAACGGCAAAACAAACCACGGCGCTCAATCTCTGCACTAAATTTCATGGGGCAACTGGGTTCTACTGGCAGGCTTCCCTGCATCTCTCATGGAAAACAAGTATAACAGCAATGAGAGACGATGGCGTGATCGAAAGATGTCGCGCAATCGTTGGAGCTGCACGATCCAAAGCTCGGCGTAAAATGTTCCGGTACCCCCCCCTCCGCGCCGTTCATCCCCCGTCACCCATCACCAGCAAGCGAGCATGCGTTTTCATGGCCTTCTGCAGGTAGTCCAAGGCCGCGCTAGATTTGCCCCTCCGGAGGAAGTACAGCCCGTAGGCGTCGTTCACGAACGCCCGGAGCTCCAGGGTGGAGTGCTTGTCGAGCACTTGCCTGCGCGTGTTATTCGAGCTTCGGGTTTTCAGTGTCACGGCAGCGCTCGGTGCTGCTGTTGTGGTGTACGTATGTCGGTCAGTGCGCGGGGGTGGTGTACCCCGTCTAACAGCCGTCGAGGCCGAGACGCGCATGACCGCTCCGGCCCATCCGGTGCTATTGTTTTCGGTCAATGGTGCTCGTTTGCCAAGCGCTGCTGAATGGGAAGAGCAAGAGAAGCATACACCTACAAATATTTAGTTTTTCTTCGAAACAGATACATGACCAATCGGAAACGCGACGACAACAAGCTCACACGCACCTAGAGAGGAGTATTCCAGCCCGCTTGAGTAGCTCCAAGGCCCTCTCGAACCGCTGGTTCTCGGTGCTCCGCACCCCAAACGCAATGCATGTTGCCACCAGCTGCCTCCAGAGCTTCTGCACTAGCTGCGACGGGCCTGCGATCATTTCGTGTTGTCGTCGAAGTGTCCTGTGCATCACAAGGCTCACCCAACGTCTGAAGTGTTGGCTGTTTTGTTTTTTTTTCGCTGAGCGGAAATGACCAAAGTGCTTCTACTTATATTCTGATGAGACGTTCTAAAACGGGGGGCGAACGATTTGCTGCAGTAGCGAAAAAGAGTTTTGCAGCGGTGATCTCACCGTGAGTGATTGTAATCTCCTCGGATACACAGACACTTCCTCATGCGAGACAAAAACTTGCGGAATCGCTCCCAGCACAGGGCTGAATTGAAGTGTCGACCACGGGGAACGCCCCCCGGCTCAGGCGCCGAAGCAATAACGCTTCTGGCTTGCCACATACCTTGCTGGTCGTCCGCACGAAGGTGTGCCGTGAGCAACCCCTCCACCACGGCCACGTACTTCGCGTACCTGTTGCGTTCGAAGCATTCCAGAGGTCAGGTAAGGAGTACCAGGGCGCATCTAGCAAACAGCCAACCCCAATTGGCTAGGACACAAATACAAGCGACATGGTTGTGCGAGGGGCGCAAACGTGAGTAAGTCAGTTTGGTGTCGGGTGAACGATAAATAGGCGGAAGAGTAGCACCAGTGAGTAGCAGCGGAGACAAATTTCACCCCGCATACCTACCGTGCATTCGGTGGTGAAGGTCGGGGCGGTGATAAGCCGAGTTACAGTATTGGGTGACTTGCCGCTGGACATACCCCTCGAAGCATCATGTCGGTGCCAACCGGAACCCTGCTTGGTTTACTCTATACACGAAGAGTCGCGCAGTTCGGCCGTGGGAACATCACCCTCCAAACCCTAGATGTACAACAGACTGCTAGTTTTCAGTTGGGCTTGACGAAGGTTGAAAAACTCGCCTTCCTTGCTCCTCCAGCCCTTCCAGATCCCTCACCACGCGCGCGCCCCCCGGAAGGGCCGACCATTCGGCCTGAATCGCGCCACTCCCGGCGAACCAGATGGGTCGCGGCCGCTTGGGCACCATGACAACCGCCTCGCCCCCGCCCCTGGTTGGCACCGAGATGGCCTTGCTGCCGCGGAACCCGCCCCGCCCCCCGCCGACGGCCTTCGCCGCCCCCGTAGCGTGACTCCCCCCGACGCTTGCGCCGCCCTTGGCGCCGGGAGTTCCGGCAGTGGCAGCCGGTATCGGTGGCGGGTGACGCCCTAACGAGTAGTCCCTGCTGACGACTACCTCCCTCGGGTTTGCCGCTCGGGTCACGGGGCGTCGAGAAGGAGATGGCGAGGTTCGGGCGGGGTCGCCCGTAGCTCTTTCCCTACCCGGAGTGGGAGTGGTGTTGACTGGCGAGGCGGCGGCGGTGCCTGGCGTGGTGGGTGCGCCACCGCACCCTCCCGTGTTGCTCCGGCGGGAGGTCGATGGGCCGGGGGCGGCTGTTGACGCACGGTGTGAGAAACGTCGTCGTTGGTGCTGCTGGTGCTGCTGCTCGAGGGCGTAGTCCTCTTCTTCTTCGGCGGCGAGGTAGCCTCGCTGTTTGCGCTGCGGCGCACAACAACAATCGTCGATCGGCATCGTGCAAGCTAAATGCAAGGGACGATTGAGCCATTGGTGAAGATGCCTATGCAACAAAATGTACGTCCAGGAAGCTCGTTTGAAAACGGGTAGCCGGACTCTTGTGTAGAAAGGGGTGCTATTGACCGGTAGTTTCACCAACATCTGGAAGCGTAAATATAAACCTGGTAACACCCACGGCGTGCTCACGATTGCGCTAGACTTGGGCCTTGATGTATCTAACGGACAAGTTGGAGCACCGAAAACAAAACTAGCTCAAGCGCCATCAAAGGGTACAAAATCTTTCCATCGCCATGGAAGACAATTTCATGACCAACTCACCACGAGGTCCTCTTCCTTGGCGTTTGTTTTTCCGTCCAGGTCGGCCTTGAGCTTGGTCTGGTACAAACTCAGGATGTTCTTGGCTATCTCGTTCTCCCACTCGGTATCGATCTTTGCGGGATTACCGTTGTTACCGTCGCCGCCCGTCCGACCTCCACCTCCGCTGACCCCGTGTCCCAGCCGTTTGCTTTTCTTCCCTTTGCTACGGATACCACTCCCTGAACTGCTGCAGCAGCCGCCACCGATGCTTCCGCGCATGCGACCGCGACTGCCGCCGTTGCCAACCTCGCTATTGACGGGCGAGGGAAGCGATACCTCGGGTTGCTGCGGTCCTTCCGGACAGCTTGTCTCGATCTCAACAGCTGCAATCCCGTGCGATCTGGCGCCAATTTCTGTCGCGAGGGTCCCCGGAGGAGGCGCGTTTCCGCTATCTCGCCTTGCTCGCTGAAAGGTCCCGACTTGATACCCCCCCACCGACTGGTGCCCTCCGTCGGCAGCTTCAAGACTCTTCTCCTTGGCCCCGGCTTCTTCCCCGGCGGTGCTCTCAGCATCGCAACCGTCGCCAGCTGCTCCACCCCCACATCTATCACAATCCTCGAACGCGCCCGCCGCGGTTGGCCACGGCGAAGAAGGCCCGTACAGGATGGAACCCGCTTCCCCCGTACCGCCACTACCACCATCGTCACCATTGGCAGCACCAGGCACCTCAGCGCCCCCTGCCCTGGGCGGGGGGCCGAGATTGAACGAGCTCTTGCTCGTCTTTTCGTGCGGCCCTTCGTCGCTTTCCGTGCCACCGGTATTGTCTGTGGCGGAAAAACGCCCGGTCTGGCCACAGTATGCCTGTGCGAGCGAAGTAAAGGTGGTCCGTGTTTCGTTGAAAACCCTTGTCGAAAAGAGGTGAGGGTGTCTGCGAGAGCTGTGACTGGGTGGTACAAATTGAACCACCTCATCTGAGGTACGATGAATTCCTTGTGGGGCCATCGATACGCGCAGCTCTACAGTTGTACTATCACACACCAGTGGCTGCCTGGAGGTATGGATATCGGCGGTTGAATGTTGGTATTTGCGAGACTTTGGCGTCAGCATGGGAAGAAAAGAACAGGTCCACGAACCTTTGCCCTCGCTACCAGCGTGCGCGACCTCTCGAGCATGGTTGCCGTGTCCCGGCTGATGTTCCTTGGCACTGTGGCGTCACCGCCCTCCTCATGCCTGTGTCCACGACACCCCTCCGCAAAGACCCGTCCTAGCAAAGGCGGCGAGTCGACGCCATCATGTTCCTCATCTTCACAACCATACTCGTCCCCATCGCCCACAATCTGGATCGCGCCCCGGTCACCTCGCACACAATCGGCGTCGGTCGCGTCACCATCAAATCTCCGTCGACTACCACACAACCGGCTTCTTGCCTGCGCCGCACCTCCTTCGTGGTTTGGGTGGCCCGGCACGACACGTCGTCTTGCTGCGTGCGAGGCCACCGTCGTCGCTGGGCGCGTTCTGCTGCTTCTAGCGGTAACTGATCCCTTTCTGCCGCCAACGACGGGGGTGTTCTGGGTCTTTATCGACCGGGATAACGGCGAATCCAACCACACGGCCGTCGGGTGTCCGGCAGGAAGCGATTCTTCCACCCGGTGTCCCGCCGTTACCGCGGCGGTGGCAGCCCTGTCGTGCAAGCCACTGCCTCGCCTGCCTACTGCCGTGCCTGGACTCCCCACCCCCGACGAAGGATGAAGGGAGGGGAGCCAGAGACCGTCCAGAGAAACCTCGACCTGTTCCGCCGGTTTCTCCACTCTCTGCCGTATCACCGTCGTTGTCGAGGTCGAACATACCCCGTTGCTGCGATCATCACAAGCACTGGCAGTATCTCCATGCTGTGAGGAATGAAGAAACCTGGACGTTCCCGTGGGAGCGATTCCGCCGGTGCCGTTGTGGTCCCTTGACGGTGAGGGCTCGTGTGAACCTGCTGGTGAATCGTCCCTGCTTCGTTCGTGCTTTCGAGGTATTTCACGGCGAGAGCGGGAGTGTTTTCGACGGTGGCATGTGCTGGCTCTCTTCTTGTTGATTCTTTTCGAGAAGGCGAGTTTCGGAGGGCCCGGAAGCCCGGTCGTTGTCATCTCTTGCCGGTGGAGGCTCTGCTTCTTCAGGGAAGCAAGCACCAACCGGGCGATCTCTTGCTTATTCTCGTGTGACAGCGCGAGCCCCTGTCAAGCACCACACGCCAAGAACGCGCCACAAGCTGAGTCGCTCGAGCGAGAAATAGATTATCCCCCGTGGGTTGTATTGACGCCTCAAGCATCTAAACGAATACTTGAGTTGATTGATATGCCCAAGGACGCATCCCGCCGCGGTGGGAAGGGGGAAAATCGACATTATCGCCAAACAGTCGTCCACACGTCCAACCTAGGTCCTGCAGGGACGGACTACTGCTGTACTTCAGACTTTGCAACCTACACAAACAGTAAGTCTTCGCGCACCTTCCTTTGACCCCGAACCTCTCGGAGCACTTCCTGCTGCTGCTGAAGGAGCAAAGCGATTACATTCTCTTGGCCCATCTCCACAGAAGAGGAGCCGCCTCCTTCGGCGCACCTTGCCCGAAAGTCTGCCGGTGAGAGGCCATTGCCACGGTCATCTTGGATTGAGTTGGAGATCGCCATAGCGAAGTGCCCTCAGCTGTAGTATTCGAGCAGCGCCTCGGGTCCACGTGTTTGGCGCATTTGCAGGGCTGACCTGATGCCCACGCTACGAACTGACGAGGTTACGAGAGGCGGAGGGGAGCGGCTTAATGTGCCGGTTCGTTGGATTAAATCAAGCCGCACGATACAATTGCGCCGCATGTGGGCCTTGAAAACTTGCGGAACTCCCTCCGAAACATATGCCGTCGCACGTCACACGCCATACAGCTCTCTCTCAGCTCTCAGCTCTCAGCTCTCACAGAGCAGCACTTCCAGAGAAACTCATCTTCCGGGTCTTGAGCCTTGGTCTCTGAAGAGCAAACACAACATCGGTTTGACCGAAACACTGGCACGTTGCTGGTTGAAGGGGCGCTATCTTCAACGGCGTCCGTGTGTACGCCAAGGCCAAGCGTCAGGCGGAGATACCATGTGGACTGGGCTTGCGAAGACCTTAGTAGCTCGTTGCCGCTGTTGCATACAGCCGTTGAGAAGTATGGAGAGAGCCGTGGGCGTCAGAAGAATAAGCACTGTGGGAGAGTTTTTGGAACCCGATGGAGAGATGCTGAAGGCGCTGGTGTGCCCGTTTTCCAAGGTGAGGTGGCCCCCTGTTCATTTTTTTTTGGTCCACGTTGACAGCGGACGGAGATCGGGTTTTCGTCCACAGCGTTAGCCCAGCCAATAGTATGTCTTCCCGCTTCTCATCATCAGCGTAGTCTGCCCTCCTGTAGGGCCTGCTGCAGTATCTGGAAGCAGATGCCCATTCCGTGGTCGGATTGTTCGGGAAGTGCGCGGAATCAACGCAGCAAGTTATATCGTAGCTCCCGGCCGGTTAGCCTCGACTGTCCCATAGTCAGACAAGCAAGTTTTCATGTGTATCAACCCTTACTCCACAGTATGTCACTACAGCCGATTCAGCCCCGTTCTTTCCTCCGATCACTTTGCGTAACGGAAGATCGCCGTTGTGCCTAGCGTAAGAGCAAAAAACATACATACAGACCAGCAGGGAGGCAAAGAGGAAACCCACCCCAAAAGCACGCTCATCAGCCGTGCGCACACAACACACCGTACAATTCTATTCACCATGCCTATCTCTTTGATGTGGGGCAGATATCCTTTCCAGATCCAATCTGCTGCCTACCGGTCCTGCTGGAAGATTCAAACGCAAAATACCACCGGAGGGTTCATGCAGCACCCTCAACCTGTGATTGACCCGGTGCCGCATCCGCGGGGGAGAAAGCGCAAAGAAAACGCAAACCGGAGCCGATGCCAACGTACTGTCTCGTTGCTTGATGTTGTCATGATTGTGGTGCGCATGGTCCTCCGTATTAGGAGTGAAGAGGACGTTCGTCTGCTGTGTGCAACGTTTTGCTCAAGGGCAAGGGTTTTCACGACTGCACCTCCGATCACACCGCCGATCACAGTTCGGGGTGCAAATGGCCCAACAAACATGCAGGATTGTTTTTCAAAATGTGTCCCGGATCTTCCAGATGGAAAAATGATCGAGCCAACCAAATCTCGAGAACCGGTACTTGCGCATGGCGAAAATGACATCAGCGAGAGAGAGGAGCACACACCTCACAAGCCTATAAGTGATGCATGTAGATACGGTGGCGAACGGACCCCACAGACTCACGTGACGAGCGCGACGCCAGCAAAGCAGTCAGTGTGTTTGGCCCTTGGAGGTTGAATTGAGACTTGTGTTGTTGTTGTTGTTGGTGGTGGTGGTGCTGCTGCTGCTGCTGCTGCTGCAATCGTTGTCTGATGTGGGAAAACAGTAATCCGTTGCATCCGGACAGAAAACGTTGTCTGTCATGGCAAATGCTGCTGGCGGGAATAAGGAGACACTGCTTGACGTTGCTTGCCGCCACCGTGCCACCGTGCCCGTACAAAAGGGGCCAGGATTACTGGTCCCTGACCCTGTGGTTGGATGTCTGGCGTCTTAGGCCAAGCAAGCGGGATCGACACAAATAGCAATGGTGCCGTGAGCCTTTTTTTTTTTTTGCTTTTTTGGCCCTTCAGGTATTTTTTTCATCGATATCTGCTGCACGCCACCTTTGCTCCACCACCCTCTGCTTTCTGACCACACTAGACAATGAAAAGACCACAAGCTCGAACGAGCTTGTTCTTCGTGCGTGCGCGGGGGTGCTAGCTATCTACGTCTCTCTTCGCTGTTTCCCAGCAACAGCACCTCTGATGATGTGACTGAAAAAATGGAATAGCCAGCTTGAGCCAGCAATTGAAGAAAATGGGGCTTTTCAGCAACCAGGTGCTCGCTTTCGTTTTTTGCGAATCTTTACGTACGCTGAGCTGTCATCGCGTGGGGTAGCTGCGGCAAGAGAACATCTATCGCCCGCATGCCGAATGTTGTTGTGTGTCGCCCTTCTCTACGAAAAATTCCGGGTTCTTGTTCTTCTGCTCGCTCTTGCCCATCAGGAGGAACTTCAGCCAGGTTTCGGGCGAAAGTGACCATTTTGACGCACGTATGCTCCATAACAGCGTGGGCGAGTGCCTTCCTGTATTCTGTATTCTGTGTTGCCTGCTCTGACTCGCAAGGCATTGTTAGGCTTTCGCGTGATCCCCCAAAATCGTGTATGCGCGTGGTCCGATTATTTGTTTTTTGTGTGTGTGTTTTGTTGATCCGCACAACCAGGTGACGACGCCAAAAATATATTTGAACTTGATATAAGATGATGAACGTGTATCGCGAAATACTCGCACCTACAAACGAATTGGCTCTTCCTACTCGACAGACACCTGTCAAAAGGCTATATGGAGGGATTTGTGGGTCAGTTTTTGGAACCGACATCAAAAAGTCATCAAACTGTCTAAAAACAAGTGATTTTCGGTACTTTTCACCGGCGCCTACGTACGCGTGTGGCGTCACCGAAAATCGCCACCATCAAAACCCCAGCTCCCGTCTCTGTGAAGGCAACACAAGAAACCGTACCACAGTCCACCACTCCGACGCCACACAGCCCGTCTTGTAAGATAGGGTACTGCTGAAGACATAAAACAAAGCTTCAAAGCGGAAACGGAAAGAAAAGTTTTGTAGGCTACAGGAGACGTTGGTCTCGAAAAATGGCAAGGACCTGGCACAGAGGGCGACTCAGAGCCGGTACGACGGCATCGTGCGACGCCAGGACGTTGCCGCGCTAAGCCGCAGCCGCGACCTCGCGAAGATGGCTGAGGGTAAAGCGCGTGAAAGTAAAAACAAGGCGATGGCAGCGAAACGGAATGCGGAAAAAGAAGCGGAGACGGTACGAACCAAAGCCGAGGGGGAGCGGCGGCTGCGTCACGCGGCAACCTTAGCGACGGAAGCCTTGCTCCCGTTCCAGCGCCAAAAGTAGAAGTGGCTACCACAACTCGCGACGCAATGCCACTTGAACGTCAGCAAGGTTGAGGAAGGGGAGGTTCGGATGCGATTTCTTTTTGGGTGCTGCGTTTTTTTTTTCGTTTCAGTCACCCGCTCTTTTTTTGCGGTGCGGAGTTTTTCTGCATGTGTGCGAGCTTTTGTGCAACGCGCACATCCGCGCACGCGACGGCTAGAGTAGCTTTCGCTACCGTTCTAGCGCCAAAAGCTGTGGATACCGCACTCGCGACGCAATGTCACTTAAACCTCGGATAAGTTAGGGAAGGGTGGGGTTGGAAGCGATTCCTTTTCGATATCAACTTGAAAAAACACACACGCACGCACGCGCACACACCGCGGTTGAATTTTTGGGATGGAGAGTCTTTCGCGCATCATCTATCAACTTTTGTCCTACGCGCACAGCCTCTACCGCGACCGCTAGAGCAGCTTTTGCCAACGTTCCAGCGCCAAAAGTAGCTGTGGACACCCCACTCGCGACGCCGTGTGACCTGAACCTCGCCAAAGTTGGGGAAGGGTGGGGTTGGATACAAGTCCTTTCTGATGTCAACTTGAAAAAAAACGATTTCTTCCAAGATTCCTTGGAAACAACAAAAATCAGGGCTCCGCGTCATCGCCGCTCTCATCCTCCGACGTACAACCCAGATTCTCTGACGCCTCAGACTCAGACTCTTCAGACGACGACAGCACCTCGTCCATCACGCTCTTAGCAACCCACTTGCTGCCATGCTTTGATTTCTCACTGTTGTCTTTCAAAAACTTTCTCCAGCCATGCTTTCGTTTTCGTAGTTGCCTCTCGTTCGGAACTGCGTGAGAGGCACTCTTTTTCAACGCCCTCGCAACGGAGGAGGAGGAGGAGGTGCAGCAGCCGTGGGTTGGGCCTGACCCTCACCGGCGTCGTCCGCCATTTCCGTGGCGACGGTCCGCGGGGGGGTGGTCCTCGTCCAGTTGGGCGGAGCACCGCACCATACACTTTAAATGCGGCTGCTGTGGTGTGTGCTCTCTACTCGAAACCACACCCATGCCCCCAAAAAAACAAATAAAAAAGCACGCTCGAACACAGATGGTTGTGGCCTGTTCGCCTGAAAATTGACTCGATTGTCAAAATTGGTGGGTTTTCATTGGTCGAAAAATATCCGGGAAGAAATTGAAGTCTGTTCAAATGTAGGTCCGTGTGACAGGAAATCGGCCCAACAAGAGGGTCAGGCGCAAGCCTAATTGTGTAGTACGCTCGGACTCTCATGATTCGACGTCGCTCTGCCATCAGCAGAAATAACTCAAGAAAAAGTGTGAAAATCACAGTTTGCTCTTTGGCTGCTCCCTCTTTATCCAAATGGAAAACGGAGCTTACTACAAACTGGTGCTGTACGCGGGTATTTCTAGAATAGGAAGGGCCATCATGTCCCTGGGCGTAAGGACTCGTCCAATAATGAATAAGAAGGCGGTCTAGAATCTAGTAGTCGCTCGGCGTCGTCAGACGGACTCCTTTTTTATTTTTCTCGAGCTGAAATTTTCCAACAGACCGGGCACATTTTTTCGCGCATACAAGCCCGATTTACCATCCCTACTTGGTCGTTATTTGCTTGCTACAGTGTAAAATGTATCCCGATCTTTTATGCATGTTTGTGCGATAGTGGATGATGTCTCGATTTTCTGAGTGGGCCGTTACTTTTTTCATACACTTGGCATTTCTGTCAGACGGGTTCCTGTCAGCGTCTTCGCATCTAGCGCTGCTAGCACACGCGCTTTTTACCGAATGCTCTTTTCAGCGATATGTCGGAGAAGATCTACTCACAGGTAGTGCTTGCACTGGTACATCCTCAGTGCGGATGGTTGCTGTCGGAAACAGGCATTCACACCTCCTCAGCAACCACTGTTGCTGTAAATTTATTTTCTCTACGCATCACTACTAAAGCTGTACAGGTCCTGTTCCTCACCCTCACAAATACCCGCGTCCCCATCCCTGTTAGCTCCACACATGGACTCGCTGCTGCACCATCCTTGCCGCCGTAATTTGTGGGCGTACACGCATGCACGGAAGATCTTTGGCCACAGAGAGCCCGTTGTGTGGAAAAAAAAAATCAAAAGTTCAAATTTTCCCGGTCACGCAAGGTTTTGTCGGTTGTCCCCCAAGAGGGGAAAGAGGGAGATGCGGAGCGAGAGTGACCCACAGCTGACGAAAGGCTACAGAACACAGGTACCAAGTTACCCCGCCTACACCGATGCCGTCACTGCTGGAAAGATCACCAACAAGTTATATGGTGCGCATACGTCGCTCAGACCGTGCCCCCTACGGTATCGCTGAAGATGTGCAGACATGCGTTGGATCTACCGTGTGGATAAGCGTTCAACCAATCAGGGTGACGGCTAGATTCAATGGGTTGACGTTTTGGAGTATGCTGGCTGTGGCTCCCTTCTCATTAGAAAGAGTGAAACAACACCACCACGAATATGGACAACAGCAACACTACCGGCAGTGCCGACTTGGACGTGTGTCGAATGCCCTTGCCCTCCTTTCCTACCAGCTACCGCTTACTTATGATCGCGAGGCGAGAGAGCTGCTGTCTCCGGTAGGGGTGGCCTTCCCCATCACAGCAAACGGAGTCGCCGACATGACACCTGCCAGTGCGAGGCTTGTGGAGGCACCTCCAGATGGCGGAGAGCAAGTGTGAACAGAACTGACGACGCATGCACGTGGCTACCGGCTCAAGCCACACCTCGTGTTGGCTGGGAGCAAGGAACCGAACCTGCACGGAGGGTACCTGTAGCGTGAGGCTCGTAGGATGGTCGGGAAGTGGCGGCGTGTAAAAGCGGCTGCGAAAATTACCAGCAACACTCCGGCTTCACCTAACCAACATCCGCCGCTGTGGTCGTCGCTCATCGAGGATTGTATCCAACTGCGGCACGTTCGCCTTCGATTCTGTGAGAACATGGGCATGGCAGGCAGGAACACCGTGAGACTGCGAGCGTTGGCGAGTGGCGTACGATTCTTTGTGGCAGTATAATACTGTAGTAGTCAAGACATTAAGGGCGTCCCGTAAACGTTGCAGAAACAAGCGCAAAAGTCCCTTGTAGGCTGGAACAATTGCCTCTCTGTTCGCTCGGTCCTGCACCTCAGATCCCGATAATTGGTGCCCAAATCTGTCGAAAGGAGAACCGAGCACATGAACGAGCGGCCCAACATTACATGTGAGTCATGGATTCCCGGAGACGTGGCTTTCCAGAGAATTAGAAAGAGGATTGGCCCATCCTCAAGCTGGGTGATTGAATCACCTGCAGCTTCTTCTGGTTGGGCGGTCCCCCACTTCCCACGTGCTTCGCTGGTATTCCTTTACCTATGGGGAAGGACCGAAAAAGTCACGGATGCTTCTGAAATTTAGATTAGATATGATACATTCACAATTTGGAACAAATCATGGACCTCGTCTAATGTTTTGGAAATTATTCGCGCAGAGAGGCCACTCCCACTGTTCGTTTCGAAGCCTTGTGAGACACACAAGTTGTTTCCCAGCGCGGAATGACACACCAGGCGAGGACTCCTGTCCGGCGCATTGCTTTCCTTGAATGGTCCTCATTTTGGAGCCAGAGTACAACAGAACAGGGAAAGGATATCCCCCCATCACATGCGAGAAAACCTTCGCGGGAGCCACGTCTCGAGCGACAGGCCTTCTAATACAGTGTTGGCCGTGGGCGGCTGGTGCACACGGAAATTGGCAAGAGTACACGGAACTTGGGACGGTATCGATCGTACCGTCTACAAGACCTCACTGATCCGACTGCCGATCGAATCCAAGCGCTCGGCAATCAACATGGACAAGAGCGGATGCAGCTTCCGTTCGAGCATGAACAGGAAAAATCCTTCGCCGAGAAAGTCGAAGCCATACAGGCAACGGGTCGGCCCGGTGACCCAATTGGCAACCTCGTGCACCTCATGATGTTTCGCCGTGGGTGCAACTCTCGCTAGAGTGATGCATTCGCAAGTTGGTCGTGGAAGACCATGGTTTTTCAGTGAATGGTGAGCTGAGATTGCACTGCTCCAACCCCCTCTTCTGTTCGGAAGTGAACCCGAGCAACACAAAAGGAACAGTTGAACAAGACCACAAGCAATCATTTCCCCCGCGGTCGCATTCATCCGTGTGACGATGGCTGGTGTGTCTCCGACACAACGCGAAATGAGTTGACTGGGGTCCAGACAAAAGAATGAGACGAAAACACACACAAACAACACGCGAAGAAAATAAGGGCAAACACAAGTTCGGAATTGGAGCTGGAAGCGTCGAACGGGCACCAAGCGAATGGTATACCAGGGGAAGCCGTAGCAGAGGTACACGGAGCAGCACACGAGGCCGCAGTGGTGGCGGCAGGAGTGAAATGAAGCGGGTACATGACCATTAACGAAGCGTGCACTAAGCATCTGGATAAAGAATGCGATTATCGTGCACGTCAACAGACAAACCAAAAATAGAAGTTTGAGAAGCACAGCAGTGGGAGCCATATATGTACGCAGCATTCGTGTGAAACGAGAGAGGCAGCACGGCTAGTGTCTGGTGCGAGCCAACTGACCAGTCTATGCCGCTTGTAGTTACTATACTTCGAACGGCGCAACTGCTGTAACGTCTTGTAACACGCGAACGCCGCTTCACCTGTGGCGAAAGCTCTTCGAGCTAAGCTGGCAATTCTGCCTTACGCAGGAACACAGCATACGCTACAGAGCACACCGATAGGCCGCCAGTGCATATTCCTCGCACGTCCACTGCTTGTGGCTAAAATGGACGACAACAAGTTGCTCGAAAACACTTTCAAGATCAAAGCAAGACAATCAGGGCCAATTGGAATCTTGGAATCTTTCGCGTGGGCATGTTCTCACCGCCTCACCCCACGACTACGAGACTCACCGCCATTGGAAGGATGGTCCCTCCATGAACGAGTCAACGGAAACACAAACAGCTGGCAACAAAAGAGGGTTGCGAAAGAGAACCATCGACGTGCCATCGAGTCCAACAACGAGATCATGATCAATCTTCTACACCGCGTCACTGTGGAAGTTAGCTACACATGCGACTTCGCGTCACAAGGCAATTTTCCCGGTGGATTCTTGCCCGCCTTGTTCATCGCGTTTGTGGTGACCGACCGCCTTCGCACGCAGCTGCCTCGGTCTCGTCTCCATACCTGCAACAGGGACAAACGAATTTTCAGCAGTGCCTGGCCTTCCCGCAACGTTCGATGCATGAGGCTCGCCTACAAGATGGCGCAGCTTTGCACGGACCTTTTCTTGCACGTGTTGCAAGACGTTTTGAGTGCTGATCGTGTCTGGCTGGTCGTTCCCCAGCTTCTTGTTACGGAATCCGAAGCCTCTCCGCAATAATGGAACTGCCCCCTTGCAGTCGTCCGGTGAACGTTTCAGATGAAGGATTGACAACACGTTGTAAGATAAAGTTACACCATTAGACTATTAAATGCCAGGTAGTGTAATGGTGTAACTTTATCTTGCAAGAGATGTACGCTCAGCTCATTAGCACCCGGCTGGATCACTTGGGTCCATGGCTTGTTGAGAGCAGGGATCTCCGGGGGCGGACCCCTCGCCAGACGCTGATAGTTCTAGATGCACTTTTTGTAAAGAAAAGTGATCCAGCCTGTATTTGAACTCGTGCAGGTATCCTTTGTTAAAAAGGGTTACCCCATTAGACTGCAAGTCAGCGGTAACTAGTCTAATGATGTTACTTTATCTTACAAAGGATGTACGCTCAGCTCATTAGCACCCGGCTGGATCACCTGGGTCTATGGCTTGGGATTGAGAGCAGGGATCTTCGGGGACGGACCCCTCGCCAGACGCTGCCTGAAAAGAACTTTATGGTATTTGGGAAAATGAGTAGCCGGGTCTCGAACCCGTGCGTAGAATTTGAATCGCCAATGGGTATAACACCAGACTAGTCAGCCCATCGTTACACCACGTAACGATTGGTGATTCAAATTCTACGTACGGGTTCGAGTCCCGGCCACTCACTTTCCCAAATACCATTAAGTTCTTTTGTGGTTCTTTTCAGGCAGCGTCTGGCGAGGGGTCCGTGATCTTCGATCCCTGCTCTCAATCCCAAGCCATCGTTACACCACGTAACGATTGGCGATTCAAATTCTACGTACGGGTTCGAGTCCCGGCCACTCACTTTCCCAAATACCATTAAGTTCTTTTGTGGTTCTTTTCAGGCAGCGTCTGGCGAGGGGTCCGTCCCCGAAGATCCCTGCTCTCAATCCCAAGCCATCGTTACACCACGTAACGATTGGCGATTCAAATTCTACGTACGGGTTCGAGTCCCGGCTACTCATTTTCCCAAATACCATTAAGTTCTTGTCAGGCAGCGTCTGGCGAGGGGTCCGTCCCCGAAGATCCCTGCTCTCAATCCCAAGCCATCGTTTCACCACGTAACGATTGGCGATTCAAATTCCACGTGCGGGTTCGAGTCCCGGCTCCTCATTTTTTCCCCAATCCCATTGAGTTCTGTTCAGGCAGCGTCTGGCGAGGGGTCCGTCCCCGAAGATCCCTGCTCTCAATCCCAAGCCATCGTTTCACCACGTAACGATTGGCGATTCAAATTCCACGTGCGGGTTCGAGTCCCGGCTACTCATTTTTTCCCCAATACCATTGAGTTCTGTTCAGGCAGCGTCTGGCGAGGGGTCCGTCCCCGAAGATCCCTGCTCTCAATCCCAAGCCATGAACCCAAGTGATCCAACCGGGTGCTAATGAGCTGAGCGTATATCTTTTGTAAGATAAAGTTACACCATTAGACTAGTCAGCGCTAACTGGGCAAATGGTGTAACGTTTGGCGAACACACGTCATCAGTGTGCGAACTCCATAACGGAAGACTCGGGGTTAAAATACCAATTTCTTCACTAGGTAGCAAACACAAGCAATCGATTGGCAGCAAGTGGTCCACGTCAGGCTGCAACCAACAGGGCCGCATGAGGAATGCAAGGCCGACATGGCCTCACAATGGTGTCCTCGACCTACTGACAGCTGCTGTTACCGTTGCCTTCGAGCAAGTCCGCTGACTAAATAAACAGAGCAAATTCACATCAAAAAAGCAAGTCCCGTACCTGTTCTGGGCACAATATCCCCTGGACACGACAGTGTCCTGTTTTTTCGAATCTCAACATGGCGTCCAATAACACCGCCCGGTTGTGGAGGGACTGGGCCACATCCGGATGCACTGGATCCAACGCCTTTTCTCGTATGGCCAGCGACCGTGCGTACAACAGATCCGCCTTCCCATAGTCGCCCTATGAAACGACAGTGGGTTGTGCAAGGCATTGGCTCCCCGCCACCGGGATACGACTCGCAGCTCCAGGAAAAATATATCTAAACCCTTTTGGCCCTACAGCCGTACTGACTGATCATTGACTGATCACTTGCAAATGCTCTTGTAGAGGCAATGCCGTGGAGTCCCTGCCCTCTGCAGCCCTCCGTGCTGGGTGTTGGGAAGTCCATAGGTGTGTCTTTGATCTTTGCATCAACCACGCTAACCGGCTGACCACTGAAAAGGCGTTAGTAGCGGGTAAAACGTACTCTCGTAGTCTACATTAATTCGAAAGATTCAGCACTCATCGTGTCAGCTGCTATGCATTCAACACTAGACAATGTAGTCGAGTCAAACATGACATAGCACAGACGATATCTACAACACACACATCAAAGCTCCACACATACTCTCGCCCGAACCTAGAAAGCCGCTACATAGTTGTGTGCTGGTGTGCTGGTGTGCTGGTGTGATTGTGGGAAGAAACAGGAGCGCTAGTGAGCCCTCAGGGCTGACATGCAGGGGGGGGACAGAGACGTACAGAAGTACATATACCAGCTATGGCCCTTCACTTGATCATTTAATTTATCATTCTCGGCATAAACTGAAAATCGAGTAGTTGAGACGGCTACACGACTGATCATTTCAAGGTCTACAAGGCTACCTGCCGTACCGGCCGCAAGCGTGACCACCCATCAGCCGTTCACTCTATGGCCACCACCCTGTCGCGGGCTGCTCGCATGGCCTACAGGTGGAGAAGTGCACTGCTGTCTTTTGCTCCACTTTTGCCTCTTTTTTTCTACGGCGGACATTGATTTTGACGCCGAAAAGGAACCTAGGGCCAAAGGGGTTAAATACTATTCGACCCTCACCTGAGCCCTCGATAGCTCTGCCAGGTCGTTGAGCGATTGGCCCCCATCTGGATGCTCCGTACAAAAGGCGTTTTCTCGTATGGCCAGGGACCGCTTGTACAATGGACCTGC